CCTTGAACCCAGCAATTCCACTGCTGCATATATGCTCTAGACAGCCTTTCTCAGCAGGAGCTTCTGCAAGTGAATGAAGCCCTACACAAAATTATTTGAGTGACTATTTTCTTAATTTTCCCAAGGATAACACATAGCTAGTAGCATTCTAGATGCCGAGGAGAGAAGTGAATTTATTACACACAATGAATACCTTAGGACATTAGGGGTTAATGCCCTCAGCTGAGAAAAGGCAACCCTGAAGCCTCTCCCACACATCTGCACAAAGAGATATAATCATTGTGAATTGCGTGTAATAGTGGAAAGGCTCTAAATCCCACTAATAAAAGAACAGGTAACTAGTTATGGTTTTTGTACAATGGGATATGATATAGCAATTAAAGAATAAGGGCTACTATGTATCAATATGTATAAATCTCAAAAACCATGTTGAGTAAGAATAAGTTACAAAAAGACTCAAATTGTACGCTCCATTTGTATTAATTTTGCAAACATGTAAAAATATGGTATGTTATTTAAAGATACACACTTGTACTGGGCATGATAAACAGCAACTTCAAACTACAGTTACCTCTGCTGTTGGAGGGAGGAGCATTAGACCACAGAGCGAGACGCAAGGGGCTTCCCTTGTTTCTGTAATATTTTATTTATTTTTAAAATGACTTTTAAATGTTAAAATTTAGCAAAGCTTCGAGGTGGGTTCAGGGGTGTTTCTAATATCATTGGCTGTATTTTTGGTAGCTTTTAAGTACTTCATAACTTAAATGTTTTAATATCATAGAAACAAACATTTCTCCTCTTGTTGGAGATACGAGCAGTTTAACATATGTACCCATACACACAGTTTCTACAGATGAGAATCCTGAAGCATCTCTGGCCATCTGATTGGATAAGGAAAACTTCCCAGCACTCCCCCAGCAGCCTCACTGCGGCGCACTAGCACTTCCAACCGTGCCTCAAACCCTGCAGCACCCAATGCAGTACACGTTCAGTTTATGAAGGAGACTGTTACACACTTCCTATCTTTGTAGTAGTAACTTCCCAAGCTCATTAGCAGTAAAGGTAATAGTTAGAATGAAATAAAGAATTCCTTTAAAATTATTTTGAAGTGCTTGTATTGAGATGCACTATCAAATTGGCCCAAAACATAAGATAGGTGTTAAAAAGTTAGTTCCTTGTTAAAAAGAGGAAAATAATTTAAAACTATTATCTAATTTTAGCAAAATAATATTATCCACTACATTAAATTAGTGTTGTGTTGATTCTGTAGTCTTGTATGTACATAATTTGTACATTAATTTTAATTTTATAGTGATATAAGAGCTATAAGAACTTTATAGATGGTTTCACGAAAATACATATTTAAGTAATATTATAACATAAATAATTTAAGTAAACATCAGGGGTTTAGGAGAATAATTGCTCTTCAAATAGTCTGAACCTTGTGCAAGTTGGGAGACACTGGGCATTAAACCAAACTTCAGTTCGGTCCACAAGGCCTTCCGTGATGTGGCCCCACATAATACCACAGCTTCATTTCCTGCCACTCTCCTACTCAAATCTGAGGTTCTTACAACACTGTAATTTCCATTTTTTACTCCAGCTGTTCCTTCCACCCCTGTTCTAAATCTATTCAGCTAAACCAATAAACATCACAGCCCTTAGACATGCCTTGGGATTTTAACCCTCCCAGAATGATAATCAAGGATTATTTACTTAACTGAACAAAATGACACAGTTTGTCTAACATCCCTAACAGTAAGGTGTCCGTGGGGGACTCTTCCCCACATTATTCAGAAGCAGGGGCTGGACTCCTGCAAGGCCACAGCTGGGGAGGCAACACGGTCCCATCGAGAGGAGCTAGAACCAGTTGTCCAGCCAAGATGCAGTCTTCTCGTCAAAACAGGTCTAGGCACTTCCCAAGTATTTTGCTTTATAAATACAGGCTTCTTATCAGAAGAAGAGAGGAACAACTTTGATTTACACCAGTGATAAGCTTTTTAGCATGAACGTCAGTTCAGAAAAATGTAAAATCTCTGCAGGCTGCATTTCTTTTTCATTCAAAATAGTTCATTTATTGAGTCCTAGGATGAAATCATATCTATTCTTAAAACATAAATAATATATTTTATTTATTACAAGAACACCAGTGAAAAAAATTACTATTACATTTTAGATACTAAAATGTTCCTGCCTGAGTATATTTGAGAAATAACAATACCAAAGCATCTTTTTATTTTTTTAATTTCATCTTTATTGTATATCTTTTACATTACTTTTCAGCCCCTTTATAGCCCCCCCCACAATCCCCACACTGTTGTCCACGTCCATGAGTCCTTCTTCCTTTTTGCTCAGTCCCTCCGCCCCTAAATTCCCCCACCACGAGCTGTCATCTGCTCTCCATCCATGAATCTGTCCCCATTTTACGTGTCAGTTCAGTTTGTTCATTAGATTCCACATATAAGTGAAATCATCTCTTTAAACTCTTATCCTAAAATCATATTTAGTGGATGATGGTATGTGGCTTGCAGCTGGCCGTTGAGCTAAAGAAAAAGAAAAGAAAAAATATTCCTCCTTGATTCAGCCTAAGTTAATATTGCTCAGAGATTCCGAACAGCTTGTAATCATATTTTACTTTCTATTTACTTGTAGGTTCTTACAGTGCTAATAAAAGGTCAGCTTTTAAAAGCCTTATCTATTTATTTATTTAAAGATTTTATTTATTTATTTGTTTGTTTGTTTGTTTATTTTTAGAGAGAGGGGAAGGGAAAGAGAAAGAGAGGGAGAGAAACATCTATGTGTGAGAGAAACATGGATGGGTTGGTTTCTGTTCACGCCCCCCAACCAGGGACCAAACCTCAATCCCGGCATGTGCCCTGACCAGGAATGGAACAGGTGACTTTTTGCTTTGCGGGATGATGCCATACCAACTCAGCTACACCAGTCGGGGCACTATCTGCTTTTTAAAAAATATTTGATTTATTTCTACATATGCTGCTTGCATTCTATATTCTATCTGTAGTAAGTTTAAGACACTTTTTTCAAGTTTTTTCCTCTGGATGTATTCTATTTAGCTAAAGCAGTATTTCCCCAAAATAATCCAAGGAGTACTAGTCCTGCAAGATATCCTGAGAAGCAGAAATTTTCAAAGTCACCTAAGTTTGGAAAATTATGTATATAATAGTCAAGTCACATGAACAAACTTTAACTAAATATCCTGAAAAATTCTACAATAATAAAACCTGTTTAGCCTTGTTTAACTTAGTATTTCTCAGACTTATTTGAACTTGAAATGACAAAAATATTTTTTGAGAAACAGTATTTAACATCTGCAGAAAAAACTTTGAGATCTGCTGATTCAAAGTCATCTTAAAAACAAAAAGAAAAAGAAAAAGAAAAAAATTTCCCAAAGGAGAAGGGATTCTCAAATGATGACGAGCCATGCCGAGAAGAGCAGGGGAATGATCCTTATCAGAGGAAAGAGCTCACGGGAACCAGGGTGGCTTTAGTCAACCCAGACAGTTGAAGTTCAGAAGATTCCATTCAGGGTGAAGCGACCCGAGGAATTTCAGGTGAGCCAGGATAACAATAACAATTATTATTACTGTCTTTATTCCTGCCTCAATTTATTAATTGCTCAGGATAAGGAAAGCACTATACATACATTCTCTCCAACCACAGAAATACCCTGCAAGATAGGTTTTATCCTCTCTATTTTAGAGACGAGAAAACTGAGACTGACAGAAGGTGACATGAATCCAGTAGAAACAGGATTTGGTCTTAAACCTTTCTTACCGCATCATAGTGACTCACTCTATAAAGTTTCTTCATGTAAGCAATTGCTCTTGCTTTGTTCTCTAGGTCACTGATTGCCCTCTCTGGAGTCTTCCCTAACAGAAATAATTCTAGAGTAAAACAAGTTAAACCATTGATTATTTTGACCTACTTAATTATACCATGTGTGATTTCTTCTGTGAACCAAATTTTGCACACTGATCACCTAGGCATGAAATAGTATTTTGAAATTACTTCTCAAGGCTCTTTAAGAATCGCACAAGAAAATCAATGCTAACATTCCAAGCCAACTCAAAAGCTTATAGAGGCCAAACAGTTAACATGAATGAAGGGAGCTGGTCAGGAACAAGACAAAAGTTGGTTACAGACACTCTGATGATCTACAGAGAATACTGTTCCACCAAAGGGCTTAACTGTTTTCTTAGCTTTGGCATATTGTTGTCAAGCAAAAATGTGAGCCCAATATGGCTTGATCTCATTTTTCAAATGAATCCAGAAACACAGTTTTTATATGAAATCTCCCAATTCCAAAATGTTGACAACTAATTTTTTTTTTAAACATTAGCACAGCCAGAAACAACATAAACTTGCAGGTGGATCACTCATGACCTCACAAATCAACTTCTACTAAAAGTAGTATTACCTCTGCCACCTCCATTTTACCACACTATTCACTCCCTCCATCCAGTGGACCTGGGACCACATTGCTTTCGATACACTCAAAACAATCAAGTTAAGATCGGTCAGTACTGGAGTCATGTTTAAAACCTTTGAGTCTAAAGTCGATTATAAAAAAGGAGACCTCCATTTTTATTTTGAAAGATGGCAAAAGGGTAAAAATAAGTGCATGTGTCACTTGAAGACAATGGCAGTCATTATGTGCTTTTTCTAGGATACATTATATGCTAGAGTGACTCCACGGTGTGAGGAAGCCATTAGCACTGCTCCAGTGACCAAATATTTTTGCTTCCTCCCCTCCAAACTGATTTTCCAAATTACTTTTGGAGACTAGATTCAAGTCCAATTAGGTGATGGGGTGAGCTGTCCTTCATGACATTCTCTTAGCACTAGGGGTGCTTGTTAGAGGGGTGGCTAATGCCACCCGACACCTGTAGTATTCAAAGCTAGAGCTCAAGGTGTGGCCTCTTGGTCTTTTAAGGTCAACCTCATTACTAAGTCCCCAGAGAAGAGCTAAAGAGAGGACGATGGAAAGAGGTTGGCTCCATGGGAAGGGAGTCCTCCTCTGCCTCCTTCTCCCCCTGCTGCCTCAAGGTAAGATGGGACAAGAACAAAAGCAAATCAGACATATAAATTTTGAGAAACAGAGAAACCAGGCTAATTTCTTGTTTCTCCTAGGCAGTCAATGATTGGATGTCCATTTTGGTAAAAATGGAAACTTATAATGCTGATGGTTTTGTACCTCTTTCTAGGATCCTAACAGTTAACTCACTCTTTTCTCTATTTACTTCTCTACTCTCCTCCTTCTATTGGCCTCTTCTCCTTCCCTACGTATTTCTCTTTCCAAGTATACAATCCATCCCCATGGTTTCTAATTATCAGGTGATGTTCAGTAGAAGAAAATTCTTTTCTCATGTCTCTTGAAACAAATGAAATGGAGCAGGAAAGATGCTAAGAGGTAGGACATGGATGAGGCTTGTCATGAAAGAAGGACACTTTTTCAGTATGATTTTCCCAGTCTAGAGTATTTTTCCTGTTCACTATTGAAAATGAGCAGTGAGGGAGAGTATAACATCAGAGATAGATAAAAACAGATGTTACCACATCATTCCCTGTCTCTGCTCCACAAAGTATGACTAGGAAATGGTTAGATATAAGATTGGTATCAAGAAATTCTCTCTGAGATAGTCTCAGTGGTGTTGGTTACTGATTTTGGAAGAGAACAATTGCAGCACAAAGTAGATACAGCAAATAGTCATTAAATTGAAAAACTAAGTTCCTTCCTTAAGATCCCACATATCTCTCACTGTCTACCCGATGCCACCAATGTGTAAGGCCATACCACTATGAACGTGTCCCATCCCACACTACCTGCCTGATTACTTCCCTTATCATTAATTTATGATTATCTCTACCTTATTAATATAGTGAAGAGGAGACCTGTGATGACAAAATTTGTCACTGATATCACCGATACGGCTCAAGGACAGAGAAGGGCAATGGTAGGACACTGAGTGAAGGTGCAAAGGTTTGTGGTGAGATTGTGAAGAACATAGCAGGACACTGAAAAGCAGTGGTCAGGTCTGAGTTTGAATACACCTTGGGACAAGTTTTGCATGGGGACAGAAACAACGAAATTGAGGATAGAGCCCTGACTCAGCTCACCTCACCAGCTTCCACCATTTGCCTACCTACCCAGCCCGCGTTCTCTGGCTCCGGGAGGAGGAGCTCATGGACTTCTCCCATGCCCCTTATTTTCTCGCTGTGCAGAAACACTCCTTACACCCCAGAGCTGGCACCCCTCTCACAGAGTCCTTGCTCTCTACAGGAAGAGGAGACACTTTCACCATCAATTGCTCAGGCTTTGAGCAGCATGGAGTGGATCCTGCTGCCTTCCAACCAGTGTTTGACAGAAAGGTCTTCCTTCCAGCCACCAACTACAGCAACCCCATTCATGTCAACATCTCCTTCACCGTGTCTGCCATCCTGGAAGTGGTAAGTCCTGACCAAACATTGCAATGGTCTAGTGGTAAGTGGTGGGTCTCCTGGTTGCATTTTGTAAAATTAAGAGCTCATTCTATGGGGTAGGGAGACATAGTAGGGAATGCTACAATGATACCACTGCGGGTAAAGTCTCTCCCTCCTTGGAATACGCCGCGAGCAACATAATCCCAGTGGCCTCATGATGTTTTTTTCACTTAATGTTTCCCATGTGCCTTAGATTATTTGACCTACATTTTTCAGTGGCTTATGATTAAAAATCCTAATTGCCACACAGAACAGCCTTGGAAATGAATAAGTGGTGAGTGGTGGTATTGGACCTGACTTCACAGAGTTAATGATCCTGCATGAAAATTGTTTTTCCAGAATGCACAGCTTCAACAGATGACATCATTCCTGTGGCTAAATATGGTATGATAGGCTAAGTTTCCCCTCTACTATAGTACCTTCTTTTTTCTGCTCCTGGGTCCAATTTTGCAGATTACAGAGGATAAAGCTGAGAATACCCATGAATTAGATGAGTTCAAACAGAGCCAGACCAACAATAAAAACACAAAGCTTCCTCATTATGCCAGTTTAAGAGGCCAGAGATGGGGCACAGAGGGAAGGTAGAATAAAGCAAGGTCATGGAACCCAATATTTAAATGGCTCCATCCTTGGGAATCCAAAGCCAAGCTCAAGGCCTCCCTTGAGGACATTCAGGGAGAAGTGGAAGTAAGACGTTGTTAGTGACACTGTGACAGCTCACCAGAGAGGAGCTGGGAGAGTGAAGAAATGAGTGAAAAAAAAAAAAAGAATTATAAAGTGCAGGAGATCTTAGAGCAAGACTAAAAGTAGTTCCCACTCCATTTGTCCCATGTCATGGTTTCCTCTAGAAATGGTACAATCCGTTCATCAGGTGGAACCCAGAGGAATGTGGGGGCATCAGGAACCTCAGCATAGCAACTGAGAACCTGTGGCTTCCAGATATCTTCATCGTGGAGTTGTGAGTACCAGGGATGCAAAAAGCAAGGAGGAAACCATTTCTCCAGAGAAGAGCATAATGTAACCTATAGGGGCTACACAAAGACTCAATTTAGAAAGGAGCAGTATCTGAACTGAGGAGCTTACAAAATCCCCAGAGATAGGTGGAAGCGGGAAATCAGATAAGTGGGCTGGGGCACAGAAATGGGGGAGCCTGAGAAAGAAACAAGGCCAGGTCTGACGGGGAACCCACAGCACCCTCCTCTCCGTCCTTCTCGTATACAGCATAAATATAGATGAGGCAGCTGAGGGGCTCATGGCTTATGTCAACAGTGAAGGGCACATCCGATATGACAAGCCAATGAAGGTGATCAGCATCTGTAACCTGGACATCTTCTATTTCCCCTTTGATGAACAAAACTGCACACTGACTTTCAGCTCTTTCGTCTACACAGGTGAGTGAGGCTCATAAACAGTGGTCTGCTAAAATGCAGAGAGAAGGCTTTGGGAGAGAAGAGGACAGAAAGCTGGGAACAGTGAGGGAATCTCACTGAAGGGTGGGGGGGTGGGCGCTAACTGTCAAGAAACCCAACAGTCTGGGCAAGGGAGTTGGGAGCATTTGGGGAGGCTGAATTTTCTGGATCTCTTTGCAGAGGAGAACATGGTCCTGGGCATGGAGAAGGAAGTGCAGGAGATTTCGATCACATCCCAGAACCTCATTCAGAGCAATGGGGAGTGGGTACTTCTGGGAATCCACCAGAGAATGGTGAAGATGACTGTGGGCACCAGCCAGTACGACCAAATCATTTTCTATGTAAGCTCAGGGGCCCGGGTTGTGATCTTCCCCTGGGATGCATAGTTTATATCCCCCCTCCTCCCAGAGCAGAAGCTCTTCCACTAGAAAGGAAACTCCTTGAGCACAGGGATTTTTATCACTTTTATCACGGATACATCTCCTGTACCTATAACAGTCTCTAGCACTCAGTAAACGTTGATGGAATGAATCCTCCCTGAGGAAGAAATGAAGTTCTCATGGCAGTGATTCCCACTGAGAAGGAGCCTCTCTTCCCCCAGGGCCATCAGAACTTTCTGGAGGGCTGGAATTGTTGTGTTTACTTTTAAAAAGAAAGGTTGGAAGGCAGTATGGTGATTACCCGAGGGAAAGTAGGGTAGGAGATGTAGAAGGCAGGGGATAAACGGTGATGGAAGGAGGCTTGACTTGGGGTGGTGAACACTCAATACAATACACTGATGATATATTATGGAATTGTACACCTGAAATCTATATAATTTTATTAACCAGTGTCACTCCAATAAATTCAGTAAAATTTTTTAAATAAAATAAAGAGATGGCAGAAAAATTCATAAAACATTGTCTTGAGGATATTATGATTCCAAATCCTGGTGATCCCAAAATACCTGCCACTGTCTTGCTCTCCCTCCCACTGGTCTTAAATTCCACCAGCAAAGTCACTAGATATTAGGCCTTGATGAGGAAAGCAAGCAGAAATATAAGGATAAAATGCACATGATAACCTATGAATCTGGTCCCTCAGTCCTGCGAAGAGCATGTCGTAAGGACAAACAGAGAGTGGAGAAAGTTGACACTTTGGGCCAAGAAGGAATGAAATATGTTTCAGTGGTGAGACGCATGGCAGAATCAAACTCTGGGAAGGCAGACTATGGTGCCTAAGATGACTTTGTTGGAGAGATAAGATAGCAAGGTGACTTTTCTTACTAGACAGTTTGTTCCAGAACTAATCTCTTAACTTGCATAGCTGTCTCCTAGTCTACTCCTCTCTTGCCCCTCTCTCCTCCCCACCAGGTGGCCATCCGGCGCAGACCCAGACACTATGTCATAAACCTTCTGGTGCCCAGTAGCTTTCTGGTTGCCATTGATGCCCTCAGCTTCTACCTGCCAGCAGAAAGCGAGAACCGCGCCCCATTCAAGGTGACACTTCTTCTGGGCTACAACGTCTTCCTGCTCATGATGAATGACTTACTCCCGGATACTGGCACCCCCCTTATCAGTATGATCCCTTCCTCTTTCAGTAGAATAAAAACAAGGTGGGAGGATGGGGTGGGGAGAGGGACCAGGGGAACCAGTTCAAACTTTAAAAAGGGTCCTTTGGGATTAGTCAAAAAACATATATGAAGGACCCATGGACAGGGACAGCAGTGTGGGGACTGACTGTGGGAGCGGGAGGTGGACTGGGTGGAGGGGTGGTGAAGGGGGGAAAATTGGAACAACTGTAATAGCATAAACAATAAAACATTTTTTAAATAATGAAATAAAAAGTTCCATTTGGGAAATAGGAAATAAGAAGTCTGGGAGGGGTCACTGGTCCTCACACAGGCCTGCCTGCCTTCCCTCCAGGTGTCTACTTCGCTCTCTGTCTGTCACTGATGGTGCTCAGCCTGCTAGAGACCATCTTCATCACCTACCTGCTGCACCTGGCCACCACCCAGCCCCCACCCATGCCCCGGTGGCTCCATTCCCTGCTTCTGCACTGCACCAGCCCAACAAAATGCTGTCCCACTGCTCCCCAGAAGAGAAACAAGAACCTGGGCCTCTCCCCAGCCCACCTGCCTGGTAAGGAAGTCAGCTCTGCCCACACTTCCTCTTACAAAACCTCCACTCCTGCTCCTGCCTCCTTCCCTGTTCCTCTCCCTCCGCAGGTGAACTTTGCAGCCCGTAGCTTGGTTTCTGTTTCTCCTTAGGTCTGAAGGAGCCTGTGGAGTTTGTGGGGAAGATGCTGGGACCCCAAGAGGCAGAGTTAAATGCTTACCCTGGGTCCATGAGGATCTGTCAGGAAGATGAGCTTCAGAAGCAGCACTTGGTCAGCCTGTGGATGCAGTTCAGCCACATGATGGACACCCTGCTGTTCCGCCTCTACCTGCTCTTCATGGCCACCTCCATCATCACAGTCCTTGTCCTCTGGAACACCTAGGCAGATGCTCACCTGCAAGCTCTAGCCCACAGTTTCTCTCGCCTCCGGAAACCAGCCAGGCTCCCATGCCCATTCACATTCTAGCTTCACAGCCCTGGCAACCGCCTCATTTTTTAACCCAGTCCTTTTGTGCAGTCAAACCAGACCTGGATAATTTCCTATAATTCCCAGAGTTAGGCTGTTGCTCCTGCACGCTGTCGACCCCCTTCAGCCTTCCCACAAGGCTCGCCTGCCTGGCTTCTCAGGAATACTTCCTTGGTTGAATCACCCCTAATAAACCCCTTTGCAGAAAGTGCTGGTTCTTCCCTGCATTATATTATAGTACAAAAAAAAAAAAAAATCTTGGGATTAAGAATCTTATTGCAGAAACTTCTCATTACCAAAAGCATTTCTTTTTCTTTTTCTTTTTTTTTAATGGTTTATCAGCCAACATGTAAAAGTGGAAAACCGAAGAGAAGGGGCCAAATTTATTACAAGGAATTATAATAAAAGAGGGATTAACCTCCTAAATCCAGTAATCCTGGATTTCAGAAATTAATAATGTGCCAGAACCAGGCATCTCTGGCTTAAAGAGTGAAGCTTTTTGTCACAGCCTGACATATGACTCATTCATCATTAAGCACTTAGAGTGTTAATATATATAATCCCAAATTACTGTTAAGTGTGGTGCAATGAGTTGATCTGCCCTTCATCACACTAAAAATAGAACATTAGGCCATGGAAAGCACATCTGAAAATGGCATCTGCTTTACTTCGGAGTTACACAAAGGAACTGGAAAATTTGACTTGGAAAGTCTTTGTCTATTGGTCATCTCTCCCACTAGCTGCCTGGGGAGGTAGAGGCCCCTGTGTCGCCATATGAGAGAGCTGTGGCATGATTTGCTGGACACCCCAGATTCAGAAAAGCACAAATTTGAGAGCAACTTAATTACAACTCAAACCTAGTCTTTTCTTTTTAGCAACCATTCCTTTTTATTTCTTTCATTTATCCTACTCTCTATGTAAAGCCTAAATTTCCCAGTCACAACGAGCTAGGAGTAAAAAGAGAGTTGTAATATTGTTCATTAAACAGTATTTCCCTGGTTCCTCCTCGCCAATGTTCTTCCTCAAACGCCTCAACTCTTTCTGGTCACTGTAGATGCCGAAAGGTGGCAAAGCTGCCAATGTCCACTCCTACCCCAGTGTTCTCTGCAGGCGGGAGCATCTCAGAGCCCAGGCCACTGGCGGGCTGAATCCTGCGGCGCAGATGTTCCTAGGTGGATGCTGAGTCACCCGGACAAGCTGTTGCTTACTCTTTCTGTGCTTCCCCTTCTGCAGGCAGAAGTCCATAGGAATTGGAAATTGGAGGCAGAAATACCCTGCTATATTCCAAATTGCTCCTTTCACTGAGGCCCCTGGTGTTCCAACTAAACTTGAGTCCCGTAATTCTTCTTTTTCCCCCTCTGCATTGTTTTTCCAGGAAGATCTTTGGCTCCTGTGCCTAGAGCGCTGTCAGGTACTCCGCTGACCATCCTGACATCCTCCGGGGACGTCCAAGACCCAGTGTATCGCAATCGAGGCTCAGATCAGGAGCCCTGAATTCACCTACACAAATTAGTGTATCTGTTATGATTTTGGCAGTTCCCCAGCTCACAGCTTTCTACAAAGTGGGCCTTTAGAAAGGACACAGTATAGTGGTGCTAATGTAGAACACTTATTAAGTTTTTAGTATGTGGCAGGCAGTCTTCTAAGTGCTTTACATGAGTAAACACATTTCATCCTTATGGTTACCCTGTGAAATAAGAACTACAGATCCACAAACCCTTGGAGCCAAATGTGTTTTGGAATTCAAAAATTTCCACCTTTTAAAAAGGTAAAATTGTGCATGTGCTGTATATTCTGAACAAGTAGGGTATGGTGCAGCACCATATAATCAAATATTAATATTTCTGCAGTGGAATCTATGATAACAAAAATGAAACTACAAATAGTTTCATCCGTTCAGGGCAGGTTTTGCCCACCAAATAGTTTGTGAAAAATCATTTGGTTTTCGAAGCTCTTCAGGTTTTAGAATTGTGGTTTTGTTTTATTCTCCCAATAAAATAAATGAGAAAATGAAGCGCAGGGAGCCGACATAACAGCCAGTGAGCTGTCGCCCATGGTTCCACAACTAGTTAAGGGGCAGAGCTGTGGTTTGAACCTGAGCAGACTCTAGATACTGGACTCTTACTCTCTCTGTCCTCCAAGATAAGGAGGAGAACCAGACAGGTTCTCTAAGAGTCCCGTGTTGAGAGGTCAATGCCATTTCCAGACTTTATCAGGTAACACTTTAAGAGAATTAAAACAGAAAGAGCAAGGTCCTGATCTGGGTGCCAGAAACCATATTTCTTTTCTATTTCCTTTCCATCCCTCCCTCATTTTCCCCCACTTCTCACTTCCTCCCTCCCCATCCCAAGTCATAACATTCAAGTTCATTGCTTCTGCTTTATCCATTTCTTTCTAGAATGTGTATTTCTCCCAATCTAATCTGGGCAATTCATCTTACCCCTGTGTTCTCTATGGATTTAGTTTGTTGCTGCTGATACTTATTGTCAGATGCTTTTAGATCTTCCACTCGTCTGCCCTGTCCTGAGACAGTCACCTCACCCAGAAACTCATCATTGACATAGTTGAGTAGTTCATTTACCCAGTGTTTGAGCAGTTCTGAAATTATTTAAGATCAAGTTGCATCACTTTGTTTTTTCCCATCCATTTTCATAGTACATGTTTCTCTGCTTATTTTCTTCACATCTATTCCAAACAAGTAGCTTTAAGTTTTATTTGAATAGGATATATGCAACTTATCCTTTTTGACACATGAATTAAGATGTTATATCTCCTTCCAGTAAGAGAAGGCATGGTATAATTATAGTGATTTTTCCTTCTCCAAAATCAAAATCTGAACATGTGCTCTTAACACATAACTGATAATCATATAGAACCTTTGAAACTAGAGCTTTCCCAGAAAATTGACAGGTATGGCTGCTGCCTTTCTGTTCTATCTATAACAGGATCACATGATAAGCACACTTTGTGCTACAGACTTCTCTTTTGTTATGTAGCAGACCTCTGAAAGGCTTTGCAAGGTAATTTATGACCTCTTTAGAAAAATCTACTGACAGGCAACTGGTCCTGCCTGGGCTGTCTTGCATTTGATGTCCTATTTCTGCCTAATAGCTCCTTAGCTTGTCCATTCATCTGCAGTGCTACCCTGTGGTTCTTGCACACATTCTTCTTTAAATGCTTACAAGCAGTATTTTTCATGTTTTCTGTATTTTCATGTTTCATATTAACTGGACATGAAAATTTATTATCTCATTACCATTTTTTCTTCTCTTCTTCCTCCAGATTTGCTCTAGGATGTGAAGTCACAGACTTTATTTCAGGCCTATTTTTTCCTCCTATCCAATATCTGGTCCTTCCTTTGATAACCTCTCTTATGTGATCATTCATTGGCACTAGTTATTTTATATAGTAGGAAAAAATAATATAGTACAGAGACTTTGGAATCTGGCAATCCTGGGTTCTAATCTGACCCTATTACTTGCTAGCTGGGTAACCTTGTACAAGTGGCTTAACCTTGTAAGTTTAAATTTCTTTATTTGTGAATTGATGCTAGCAACACAGATTAAATTATTTTTAAAATATGGATTTTTTAAAAATCATTGATAAGTGTATAGAAATTAAAAAGCCAAACGTGACATACTAGAGAGCATCTCTTTATCAAGCAGGCTGACACCTAGAGAGCAAAACCAACTTTAGGTGGGAGGCAATAGACATAAAGAATTATAGACTTAATAGTTCTCATTTTTCAGTTGAGAAAAATGGAAAAAAGTAACATGATAAATATGAGGTTGTCATATGTCAAGAGGGCCTGGAATCAGAGCTGGGTCTGTCAAAGTGGCAGCCACAGGTGAGTGTCTATGAGACTCTTTTCCCAGGTGCCTTTCAAGAGGCCCAGGCCCCGCTGCTCCAGGCACCATCACTAGGCCTGACCTCAACTATACCCGATCCTGCCATCGGCTGTTTTGGCTGCCTCCCGTGCTGCTGGTTCCTGTGCCCTGGCCAGCAGTCTCTGTATGTGGTTGCCACCCATATGGGCTGCTGAACAATGACTCTCTCTCTCCTCTTCCACCATCTAATTCTGCCTGGGCCAGGTTACAGCTATTTTCCCAAACCTGATCCCCCAGGGTGCTGGATGAATAGGCCACCAAAGGGCCATGCAGTGTGACCCCCTCCCGGCTTAGAATAAACTAAGGAGAAAGGCATTGAGGTCTGTGATTTGCAAAAGTACAGCTCCCATCGCCACTGTTTACCTTTGGATTCAGGGACTTTCTAGGCCTACGGATTTCATTGGTGGAAATCTGGAGGCCTGCTGATCAGCCCAACAGACTTCTTCACTAGAGAATAATGAAAAGAGCAAGGAAAGAGCAATGGAAGCAAACTGACCTGGGTTTGAATCTGGCTTCTACCAATTTCCACTTGGGTGGACACTGAGCCAGATTTTTTGACCTCTCTGCACCTCAGTTTTCTAATCCATAAAATGGAAGTAATAGTGCTGGCCTCTCAAAGCAATTGTGAGGATATGAATGCTGGAAGTGAAGTACCAAACACAGTATAAATCATACGGCACAAACTCAATAAATGGTAGCTCTGGTTGGGTCACTCTGAGCCTGCCCTTTACTGGCAACTTAGAGGGGGCAGTCAGGAAAAACAAGGCTGGGCCCCGGCTCCAGCCTCCTGCATTCCATCTGCTCCAGACTGCTGTGCTTCTGCCCACCCCCATCCCCACCTAACTGCACCCAAGATGGGGGCCCCCACCTCAGCCATGCCATGGGAGCAGCAATAATTTCTCTGATATGGCTTCACGACACCGATAAGGTTCCCAACCACCTGTATTACATCTGCCCAAAGGTGCCTGTGTCTCTTTCCTCATCCATAGTGAACTGTCAGGCCAGGTTTTTAACCAACATTTATTGACT